CATCAAGAGACTCACATATTTCCAAGAACAAGTTCTATTTGAGGTTGTTACCAAAAGAATACAAGCAGTGCGTGCAGCACCCTGATTAGGGTTTCTAGTGGGAAAAGTAAATTGAAGTTTGAATTTTGGTATAAAGAGGTTTCCAAAGCTTGAATCATGATCTATGGCACTCATATGAATTATTAAAGTCTCCCCAAGAAGTTTTAAAGGCTCAAAGAACCCATAACACTAAGGATCGATCCTGAAGATTTTAGCCGTTCGGTTCGTCTTTCTGGAAAGTCAACTCTTTGACTTTTAGGGTTTTGACCCCAAATTGAAGCAAGCAAGTTTTCCAACATAATTTTCTACCTAACTAGTGATTTTGGTGGATATTTAATCAAGGATTGATGGATAACTTGCAAATCAAGAAACTAGGGTTCATGAAAAACTCTAATTCTAAGCCAACTTGAAATGATCATAACTTCCTAACCACACATCTAAATGGAGTGGTTCAAAACTTGTTGGAAATCTCTTGAGGAGCCCTACAAAAGTTTCCTATGGGGTTGAGTTCCAAAAATGCATATATTTTGAGTTGCGAGCTCATCAAGTTGTGGAGAATTTCAACACTTAGAAAATTTTCATGTTTCTTGACTTGTAAGTCAACTTTTGCAATATACTTCAAGAGGATTTTTGACATAGTTGCCTTTGGAATTTGAACTTGTGTAAAATATGAATGTTGTATATCACGTTTAGGGCTTTTTAAAAAGTTTAAGAGCATTTTCTAAACCTTTGTGGTTAGGGAGAACCGAAGAAGGCAAGTTGGGCATTTTTCATGTCACAAAGCCAAGTTCAGCACTTGCATTTTCTTGCATAAACCATTCAAACCTCTTCTAATCCATTGCTTAAATAATTCTTTGATGCTCACAAAATTAAGTTAGGATATTAGAATGCATAGCCACGAGCAAAAATCAGATTTTGGATTAGATGAATTGTTTAATCATGCAAGTGGATGCAATTGGCATGAGAGAGAGAAACATTTTGTAACTTCTGTCACAACTCAGCAACCACATCACATGATCCCTTCCTTTCACTTCAAGAATACTATTTTCAGGCTATAGGTGATGATCAAACTCATAGAGAGGTGACTTAAACTCAGAAAAAAGATCTCAAGTTGATCTTGCACATTTTGCCTCCAAAAAGGGCAAAGTTGGCAAGATGATCCAATCTGCCCATACCACTTGCTTTTCAAGCTTGCCTATAAGTGAAACACTCTCCTCACATCTAAACAACACCAGATTGATCTAGAAACTAAGCAAAATCTCCCTCATTCCTCTGATCACATTGTTCTTGCAACTTGTGAAGCTTGCTCCCTTAAGGCAAACATCCGTCTTTGCATAAACCTTGCAAAACCTCATACAACCATCAAACACCCACTCTCACTAGAAAACCTCTCCCTCAAAAAGTCAACTGTTAATCCACAAAACTTTGACTTTCTGCACTTTTAGAGCCACAATGCTGTCCAGTCCTCTTCCAAACCTTCCAACACTTCAAACACCTTCCATATAGGTTGTCTGAACTATCCAAATCATCACCGCACTTCTGTAACATCTTTTCCTTGCATTTAACTTTGGAGTTCTTGGTGTGTTCTTGCAAAAAGCACCATTCTGTAAAGACAACCATTTTGGAAAGAGTTTGGATCACTTGAACATCTCATTTGAAGCATTTTGAGGCTGTTTGGATCATCACATATCAACTGGACTTCTTGTTTGGTGTATTGGCTTGGAGAGCCTATAAGAGGTAAGTGTTTTTACTAGTCACTTTTAGAATCATGCCAATTTTTGATGTACATTAAGTTTGGACATGTTTAACATCAATTATAGGTCATGTTTGAACTTTGGTTTGCCCTTAAACTTGTGTGGTCGTGACTGTCCACTTGTATTGGCTTGATAGCTTGCTTTTTATGTCATTTCCATATGCAACTATGTGTTTCTATTTGAGCATACTTGTTTAGTGTTTATGAACATTATTTATAGGTCATATATGTTGTGTTTGATCATTTGTTTGATGTTGAAGTGTTGCATTTCTGTTTGTCACCATGTTCTTGCTCAAACTTGCCATTTTGAGCACTTCATGTGCAATATGTTGTTTGAACTCCTCTCTTGATGTGTGATGTTTGTAAGCATCATTTATATGTTCCATATGGTGTGTTTGATCACTTTCTTGCTGCTTAAACCATGTATATTTGATTGTCTACATGTTCTTGCACATAACTTGCCATTTTCAATGATGTCTTCGAATTTTTCATTCAACGCATGATCTTTGAAAACCACCACTACCATTTAGTTCTTTGTGAAAAAATACACAATTTGCTTTTTTGTTTCAGTCAATTTCATTAAGTTTTGAGCAAGTTATGGTTGCTTTTGCAAATCTGCCTAAAGTTGCCTTGACTTGACTTTTGCCCTAGTTTGCCTCATTTTGGACCCAATTTTCAAAAGTGCATAACTTCCTTGATTTTTATTATTTTGATGCCATTATTTTTTAAAAATGCTACTTGATATGTCTAGTTTCAATGTGTGAAGAAAGAAGTCAAGAATTGTTATTTTTGAAACACTTTGATTCACTTGAAAGACATGACATTCTTTAGGGTTTTTACTTGTTTTCATGAGTTTCTTTGACTTAGTACTTGATTTTTATTGCATGATTGATCTTGTATGAATCACTTTTGAATTCTTAACATGTTTATGCATTTGAAAACGTTTGGTTCTTTGCTTTACTATGCTTATTCATGCCTTTGTAAATGTATGAATATGAAAATCATGTCTTGAAACTTTTTGTTGGTTGGTGATATGCTTCTTGATGTTGTAACCTCTTGAACATGTTCCCTTAACCTCATCGTACTTGTTTATGTGTTTTGTTAGAACCATAACATGTTTAGGGTTTGATTCTTACCTTTGTAAATGCATGAATATGAATGTATAACTTGGAACTTCTTTGTGAATCTTTATGTATGTTCTTGATTTTTGTGACCTCATGAACTTGCCCCTCATACCCTATATTTCTTGTTTATGTGCCTTGTTAGAGACATAACATGTTTAGGTTTCATTCTTACCTTGGTTGTTACCTTGAATCTTGTTCATCTTTCCCCTTGTGAAGTTTGAATCTATGCTTGCACTGTTGTCACTCTTCTTGCTTATCCATAATTGATTGTCATAAATATGTCTTGACTTATGCTTGGTCTTGTAATAACCATTACCACCACCCGCTTTTAGATGTTGTAACATCTTTGTCTACCTTTGGTTGTAACAATTTGGTTTGATTCTTTCATTGTTATGTTTCCCCCATGTTGTTACATACTTGCCTTAAATCTTTCTTGGTTGTTACCATGTTCTTCTATATCTTCATCATGTTTGAATGAATACTTATGTGTGCTTTAACTTTGTTAAGTTTCTCCAAGTGATGGAACTTGTTAGTTCTCATCCAGTTGCCTTGTTATTCCTTTATTTCAAAGAAAAGTCTCTCTATTGACCTCACAGTCATAGATTGCTCATTGCCCCTTCCCTTGACTTGGTTAAGTCATTAGGTCTCTTAGTTAAGTTAGAACCTATATCCATTAGACTTTGCTTAAAGTCTAAAGACATACCCCTTGTTAGGAGTATCCTTCAATTAGAACTTTAAGATAAAGTTTGTTAACTCTATGTGAGGATCATTGTCATGATTACTTACTCTCCTCTTGACTTTTGCAAAAGTCAATCCATTTGAGTGTTTATCTTAGATCTAGAGAGTTTTGTTAAACTCTACACAAATATTGTCATGTTTGCTCCCCTTGGAGTCTTGACCATAGTCAAGTATTCCTTAACTCTCAGTGAGGAGAACTACGGTTGCTCTGATTCCATTCTAGTCAGGATACGTAGGCATAAGATGCGATATCTTTGCGAACAAACTTAGAACCATCCTTAGGTTTTTACCTAGAGCTTTACCCTAACCTTGATCGAATAACCCTAGCAAACCAGTTAGATAACTTAGCATACATACACACAAAGTTCTTGTAGAGTACTATAAATGTCTAGGATGTGAAATACCTACCCTAGACATAACTAACCCCCGATCCCCAAATCTTTAGCGCTGTTGTTACATCGCGCAAAATGTTTTTCTTTCTTTAACCTTTCTTTTGGATAAATCAAAGCTCGGTAGGGAACTTCAATGAATTAAGATTCAAGTTAATCAATAGCTTAACATCCGATTCTCACCGCAACAAATACATTTTTTTTATTGTGCTTGAGTTTATTTCGTTATTTTTTTTGTTGTAATTGGTCTTTATTTATTTTATTTTTTGAATAATTTGAACTTAAGACATGTTGAAGTTATATTATGCGTTCTTAAAAAAAATCTTTTGTCAACCTCTTTGATAATAAATAATTTTTTTTTATAAATTATGTAGTAAATTAAATTGTAAAATAAAAAATTAGCGGGCTGGCGCGCCAACTCACCAACTCGTTAATAAACATAATGAGTTTAACTTTTGATCTCGAACCCCTATGTTGGTCCATCCCGCCCGTCCCACTTTTTGTAAAATTAGTATAATTAATATTTTAATGAATAATCTTATTTTGTGATTAAAATTAATATAATTATAAATTCAAATTAAATATTTTAAAATGATTCGTTTGGATATTCTACTAAAACATTGCATCCACTTATTATTAGTTAGTGTATATGTGATGATCACTCATTTCTTTTTCTCTGTCTATAAGTGTAAAACAAGACTTTTGCATTGAAAGGATAGATACCCTTGTGGCTATAAATGGTGCCATTACTATGTAATCGGAATTATTGAATATTTGTAGTTTCTAGAATTAGAGAAAAATATGCTGGAAGTTAAATGTAACCTCTTCTGTCTCTCTCATATAACTATCAGATAAAATTTATATGCAACTTGTCTCAATAAACATCGTAACACCAAGTGATATATCAGAATAGAAAGAGAGTTTTTTATCACTCAAAGGGAAACTAAAGCTTAAGCCATGTTCACCAATCTACAAACTTCTCTTTCACATGCAAACTTCTATTCCCTATTCTTCACTATCTTTCCGCTCTTACTCTCTTTTTTCTTTATAATCAAATATTGGTATGATTCCAACAATTCTTCTGCCACCGCAAAAAACTCACCACCATCACCTCCAAGATTTCCACTACTTGGTAATCTCCATCAACTTGGCTTATTCCCTCACCGCACGCTCCAAACTTTATCTCAAAAATATGGCCCTTTGATGCTTCTTTATTTTGGCAAGGTTCCGGTACTTGTGGTTTCATCTTCTGATGCAGCAAGAAAAGTAATGAAAACTCACGATTTGGTTTTCTGTGATAGGCCACAAAGTAAAATCTTTGATATCCTTTTATATGGTTCCAAAGACGTGGCAAGTTGTGCATATGGTGAGTATTGGAGGCAAATAAGGAGTCTCAGTGTGTTACACGTTCTGAGTAATAAAAGGGTTCAATCTTATCGTTGTGTTAGAGAGGAAGAAACTTCAAGAATGATGGAATATACTAAGGAGTATTCTTCCTCTGCATCGTCGCCGTTGAATTTATCTGAGTTGTGTTCTAGGGTTACTAATGATATCGCATGTAGGGTGGCTCTAGGAAAGAGATACCGTGAAGGAAGAGGGAAGAAATTTCAGGAAATGATATTGGAGTTTGGGGAATTATTGGGCACTGTATGTATAGGAAACTATATACCTTGGCTCGATTGGTTGGGAAAACTTAATGGTTTTTATAGAAAAGCAGAAAGAGTAGCCAAACATTTGGATGAATTTATAGAAGAAGTAATTGAGGATCACATTAGTCGTAGGTCTGATGAAGATGTTGGTGTTGATGATAATGATTTTGTGGATGTTTTGCTTTCAGTTCAAAAGACTAATGCTATTGGCTTCCAAATTGATAGACCTGCAATAAAAGCTTTGATCCTGGTAAGTAACAATATCATTCATTTATAGTAAAATTATTCACACACTCTAACATAATTTGTTTAGATTTGATTGTGCTTTTTCCCTCTACATGTAGGACATATTTGCTGCAGGTACGGATACTACGCACACAGTCCTAGAATGGGCAATGACAGAACTGTTAAGACACCAAAAAGTGATGCATAAATTGCAAGATGAGGTCAGAACTGTGGTTGGTAACAAAACTCATGTATCTGAAGAGGATTTGGCTAACATGTACTACTTGAAGGCTGTGATCAAAGAAACACTTCGCCTCCATGCCCCGGTTCCGATGTTAGTCCCTCGGAGATGTATGGAAGAGATCAAACTAGATGGGTATGACATTGCAGCTGGCACACAGGTGATTGTCAATGCTTGGGCTATTGCAAGAGACCCTTCAAGTTGGGATGAACCTCTAGAGTTTAAACCAGAAAGGTTTATGAATAGTTCAAAAGATTTTAAAGGATTGGATTTTGATTTTATACCATTTGGAGGTGGAAGGAGGGGTTGTCCTGGAGTGTCATTCGCTAATGCTGTGATTGAATTGGTGCTAGCAAACCTGGTGTGCCAATTTGATTGGAAGTTACCAGATGGAGTTGAAGGGAAGGATTTGGACATGTCTGAAACTTTTGGCATTACCTGTCATAGAAAATACCCTCTCCTTGCACTTGCTACCAAGTATGAAAATAAATAAATTGAATAAGCAACCATAGGAAAATAACACATAATTAAAGATAAATAAAGATGTTTCATGTTTTCTATTAAGTGATTGTGTATTGTTATAAGGTTTCAATATTTTAAATTCAAGGTTAGAAGTTACATTGGAGTTTTCGTTTTCATACTTGTACTCCATGTTTAAAGCTCTTAGCTCTTAAGGAGTCATATTGTGTATGTCCTCTTTCCTTTTCTAATCCAATGGTCAATGCACAAAGAAAAAATAAGACTATGAAAGGTAGGGGTGTGTAAAAAAATATGTTATTGTTAATCAAATTCATATCTAAATTATTCTATTTTTAAAAATATAAATCAAATGCTAAAATATAAATTTGGTTATCTATTTTGTTATCTAAATATAAACGAGTTTCTATAATTATAATTATAATAATAATAATAATAATAATAATAATAATAATAATAATAATAATAATAATAATAATAATAATAATAATGTTGTTTAGTTATTGGGTATCCAAATTTTATTATTTTTTAAATTGATATGTTTTTGTGTCTTTTCATGTTTTATCATATATATATATATATATATATATATATATATATATATATATATATATATATATATATATATATATATATATATATATATATATATATATATATATATATATATATATATATTATAAACCAAATTTATATTTTGAACTATTTTAAAGTTTATTTTTTTAAATTTTATAATAAAAATTATTTTATAAAAAATTCAAAATTTTGTATTTCAAAATAAAAAAAAATTGTTTACAAATTCTCTAACTACCTAAAATGTTGTACTAATACTTCACAAATTATATGGACTTTTAGCCGTTACTTATATGAACTTTTAGTAATTAATTATATTGATCTTAGTGCATTGAGTTTGATTTGGCATGTGCAAGAAAATATACCAAAATTTGATTGGTTGGATTTGACTTAGTTTTCATTTATAAATCTCGAAGATCATTAAAGTTTTATGAAAAAATAATTATAAATATTATAGATTTCTCCACTAATAGAGAGAGATTTTGAAATATACAAATATATGTATTATAACATATTAGTTACCATTTTAAGTCTATATAATTTGTTGAAATTTTTTATTTTAGAATTTTTTATTTTCAGTTTTATTTTTAATTTTTTAAATATTTTTAATTTTTAGATTTTTTTAAAAAATGTTTTTTTTTATTTTCAAAAAAAAATAATTAAAACCTAAGTATTTAAATTTAAAAATTGATATAATTTAAAGAAAATTAAATTTAAATTTAACTAAATAATTTGAATTAAAATCAAAATCTATTTAGAACCGGTTTAAAATCAGAACAAGTGGTTTGGTTTAGAAACCATAACCATAAAAATGGATTGATTTATAAACCATAACCATAAAAATAGATTGGTTCGTATTAAATTGTTATTCATGCACACCCTAATGAAAAGACAATAAAAAAGACAAATGTGTGATTGATATTGAATTTGAGTAAAACCATGAGAGAAAGTGCAGCAGGGAATTCAACTCCGTCCAGCACAGCACTCTTGCATCTTATCTATAATATTAAGGAATGCAATAAATATCAATTAAAATATTATAATAAAATTTTATAAAAGTATATATAATATAATTTATTTCCTTTTGGTTAAACAATGTATTACAAGTAAAAAAAAATACATAAGTAAATTTCATTTTCTTGACAAAATATATTAAAATACAAGATTTATTACTATTTAACAAAATTCAAATTAATAATTCATATCAATTTATTATTTTTAATTTTAATCTTATAAGTTAACGATCATCTTTTAATTTAGACCATCAAATTACCTATATTTAATTTGTTACTTTTTTCTTCCTATCTTAGATATCAAGCTTTTTCCTTTATGGAAAAATCTTGGAAGATGCATGAGACATTACCTCTCTCGAAAAAGGTTCTACGAGATTTCCTTCTCATCGCTTGAAGTTATCAAAAGGGTGAAATCCAATGCAACGTGGAACCTAGATTCGGATACTCAGAAGCTTTTCCTCTGGTCTAAAGACTTCAACCCCAATCTCTAACGAGTCACAATTGCTTAGGTGTGGATTCACCTATTTGGACTCGCTCATGAGTATCGGAGATCTAACATACTTTTTATGATTGCAAGCAGCGTTGACACACCAATATGCACTGACTTTATAGCTTATAAACTCAGGTTTGGTTGACCTTTTGGCCATTTTATTAAAGTTTTAGTTGATATGGATCTATATAACCCCTTACCACATAATGTCTTAGTAGAAAGACAAGGGTATGAATTCTTTGTGGACACAGAATATGAAAACCTACCTCAGTTTTATACTCATTGCAACATGATTTGACACTCCATACAAGCTTGCAAAAACATTCAAAATGCTTTCAAAACTTTTGACCGTGTTCATCCTAAACAAAAATTTTAAAGTGATACTTAACATTTGACATAATTCTATCTAGAATTCAAAAGTTAATATTCAAAATTTAATACATAAACAAAAAATATATGTTAATTTATTCAATAACAGCGATTACAAAAAATCATGATCATGTTTTATTCAAAAACCTATATTAATAAATCAAGCTAAGACTAGTAATGGTAAAACAATAAATATCATTAACGCTACATAATTTTTACCTAATTCTTCATGCCTGATAATACCGATGAGAAATAAAAGAATGACAAATAGAGTGATGAACATAAGAAAACATTTAGCCATTTGAAAGATGTGGATAAATTTTTGAGAATGATATGAAATTTGTGAAAGAAGTTGAATTATGTATAGATAAATTTGTAAAACGACCGTTATAGTTATCGTTAGGGGAAAGAAAAGAAAAAAAAAACAAAAAGAGAAAGAAAAAATGTCATCAAATCAAATTTAAAGTGTGTTAAATATCAACCAGCTATTACAAGGGTTTAGAGATAATTATAAGGTATGGGGTTTTAGACCTCCACTAAAAATATAAAAGTTAATTAGTAACCGAATATAAAAGTTAGTAACAGAATATAAAAGTTAGGAGTTAAATATAAAAGTTAGTGACTGCATATGGGGATTTAAGCCTCCATTAAGTATAAAAGTTAGTAACAAAATATAAAAGTTTAGAACTGAATATAAAAGTTAGTAACTGCATATGAGACTTTAGACCTCCATTAAATATAAAAGTTAGTACCTGAATATAAAGGTTAGTAACAGAATATAAAAGTTAGGAACTGAATATAAAAGTTAGTAACTGCATATGAGATTTTAACGGGATATAAAAGTTTGAAACTGAATATAAAGTTAGTAACTACATATGGGGCTTTAAACCTCCACACAAAATATATAAAAGCCACATTTATTATATATCACTTGACAAGTTGTCAGTTTTCTATAATAAGGGGATAAAGTAAAGATAACGATAAAAGTCATTTTAGTTATAGGATAATGCTAACTTGTGCCCCAAGGACAGAAGTTAAAAACTAAATTAAGAAACATTGTCTTAGAAATTGTGTACAAACTTTAAATAAAGAATAAAATTAATTTTTAAATTAATTTTTCTAATACAAACTTACTATAAGTGGGGTTCTTAACTTGTGCCCCAAGGGCGCAAGTTAGCATTACCCTTAGTTATAAATCACTTGACTAATTATCAGTTTTCTATAACTATAGTAAATAATAAAAATTATAGCAATAGTGGGATTAAAGTGATAAGTTTAGAAGATATACCTAGTGTAGTAATAATTTCTGATAGAAACGTTCCTGTTGATAACGTGTTGAGAAAAATCGATTTTGAAAATTTGTTAATATTTATGAACTAATATAAGTTACTAAATTAGTTGTAACTATTAAACTTAGATGGAAAGATTGAAGAAATGAGAATGTTTTATTTGTACTTTCAAAGTAAATTTTTGGTGTGTATTTTTATATTGGTCAAAGGTAGTATTTATACTACTAAAAATGCAACTATTACACTAATGTAATCATTGAACTTACTATTTTAACTTTGACAAATTATATATTTACAATAACATGCCATTACTATTTAGTAAATATTTTTAAATAATAATATTATAACAAAATAAAAATTTTAAAATGAGACATTGAAGAATTATTACATAAGAATTATTAAGTTGAACACTTTTGATTCTCCACCACTAAAATAATAAAACATCTAAAATACAACCTCAAGATCTCCAATTCAGATAAAATTTATGCGGTCTCCCTATCAATGTTGTGATCTTCACCTCCAATCATTTTTATTATAATACCAGAAGAATAATCAATAAACATCATAACATCGTCTAGTGTTTTCTATCACTCAAAGGGGAACCTAAAGCTTAAGCCATGTTCACCATTCTACAAACTTCTCTTTCACATGCAAACTTCTATTCCCTATTCTTCACTATCTTTCCGCTCTTACTCTCTTTTTTCTTCATAATGAAATATCGGTATTATTCCACGACAAAAAACTCACCTCCATCACCTCCAAGATTTCCACTACTTGGTAATCTCCATCAACTTGGCTTATTCCCTCACTGCACGCTCCAAACTTTATCTCAAAAATATGGCCCTTTGATGCTTCTTTATTTTGGCAAGGTTCCGGTACTTGTGGTTTCATCTTCTGATGCAGCAAGAAAAGTAATGAAAACTCACGATTTGGTTTTCTGTGATAGGCCACAAAGTAAAATCTTTGATATCCTTTTATACGGTTCCAAAGATGTGGGAAGTTGTGCATATGGTGAGTATTGGAGGCAACTAAGGAGTCTCGGTGTGTTACACGTTCTGAGTAATAAAAGGGTTCAATCTTATCGTTGTGTTAGAGAGGAAGAAACTTCAAGAATGATGGAGTATATTAAGGAGTATTCTTCTTCTGCGTCGCCGCCGTTGAATTTATCTGAGTTGTGTTCTACGGTTACTAATGATATCGTATGTAGGGTGGCTCTAGGAAAGAGATACCGTGAAGGAAGAGGGAAGAAATTTCAGGAAATGCTATTGGAGTTTGGGGAATT